TGCAGCAGCATCAACAACATGGTGGCACATGAAGAAAAGCAGTGAATTGGCTCTATCACCTATCACTTTTTGTCTAGTCAGATGTAATGTATCTAATATTTTTGCCCACTGTTGGTTGATGTATAGAATTTTAATTCTTTGGAGAGGGAAGTGGGTAGGAAAGAAAACAAAACAGGAAGCATATCACAATTTTTCTAAAAATATCATAATCACTGAATCTTTGGGAAATACCCTGCCACTTATTGTTCACATAACATTCTTTAACAAGTGAAAAAGCTCTCATTATTCTCCAAAGTATGCCATACTCTTTAGTTTGTGATGTGGCAATTACTACAGTGGCTCTATATTTTTAGCAGATTAAAAGTAGACAGAAATAAAAAAAAGAATAACAAAAAATCTGCAGTGACCAGTCTTATTTTTCAAGTATTTTATTCCTTATGTGTTTATTGGAAATGCATATTGCAAATACAAAATGTTTTTATTCTAACAAAACATTCAAAGAGAAAACCCCAAGTTAGGATCAATGCTCCCTCTAATATTTATGATCTGCGCAGAATAATTTTTTATATGCACTAAGGCATATATGGATGTGCACCACTCGTAGAAAGATGTGCTGCCAGCTGTGGACAGCTGTGGGTGCTCTGCTAATCAGATGGGCAGCATTTCAATATCTCCTGGGTGGCCACCCAAGCACTCAGCTCACAAGGAACACTGGTTAGGACCATTGTCCTTACCTATAGGTACTAGAAGCCTGATTCTCTGCTCAGCACATACAAAATTGGAACCTGTGGATGACCTCAAGTCTCATTGGCCTGCAGTCGCCAGTTTTATTCATTAACTTTACTGAGCTTCTGTGCCAAGAGTAAGGGGAAACCATGCTGGAGTTAATGTGTTTTAGTAGTGACCATGTAGTAACCTTTTATCATCTTATATAGACTTAACAATTCTATAAATGTACTGATCTATCTACAAAACAGTCCTGTTGTTGCCAGGCAGGTGTAATATTTTCCTTCCACAGAGGTTGATTTTATTCTTCAAATAATTATATTTCCCTTTTACAGTAAAACCCGTGTTATCTGGCACGCTCGAGGATTAGGGCGTTCCAGTTATCTAAAAATTCTAGTTATCTGAAGGTCCCATCAACCTAGGAAAAACTAATGGACAATAATAGTAAAACTCAAGTTTTTAATATTGGTAGTTTTGTAGTGTGAGGCAGTTGGTCTCACATTTCTATTTTGAGTTAAAGATGATTAGTACTACTTAAATAAAAAATTGTTAAACCAAGCCAGGCCTGTGCGCCTGAAGGGTACGTCTAAACTACATGCCTCTGTTGTCAGAGGCATGTAGATTTGTTGTTTTGGCAAAGTCAAATGAAACTGCGATTTAAATGATCGCAGCTTCATTTACATTTACATGGCTGCTGTGCTGAGCCGACAAACAGCTGATCAGCTGTTTGTCCACTCAGCGCGCTAGTCTGGACACTCCCCTGTTGACATCAAAGCCCTTTGTCGGCAGCCCCGGTAACCTTATCCCACGAGGAATAATGGGGCTGTCGACAAAGGGCTTTGATGTCGACGGGAGCGTCCAGACTAGCGCACTGAGCGGACAAACAGCTGATCAGCTGTTTGTTGGCTCAGCGCGGCAGCCATGTAAATTTAAATGAAGCCGCGATCATTTAAATCGCGGCTTCATTTGACTTTGCCTATGTGTCTAATTTACATACCTCTGACGACAGAGGCATGTAGTCTAGACACAGCCGAAGATGTGACAGTATTGTGGCCGGGGGCAATGCCGGTTAACAAAGTTTTCTGGTTAACAGAGAGCAGGATAACAAAGGTTTCACTGTATAAACAGCCTACACTTATAAAAAATTGTTATTTTCTTATGGCAAAATAGTATTTTTTCAAATCCCTGCAGTAAGCAATTCCCCATGAATGTGTTTCATATTTATTGGAAAATCTCCCCTAAAATTGTTAAGATGGCTGAGAATACATTTCATGAATTTAAATAGATGTTCAAATGT